AATAAATGCAAGAAGGAATTCAGGGAAGCTGTGACGGCCTGTGTAGGTGTGTATAAAAGCAGAGGCCAATTAGAGAAAGACAGACACAGCCAGAATTACCAGTGCTTATCTTGAGAGTTCATGACAGGCTATTGAACCACAGCTCTTAGCTTAGGCTTGTCTTCTGCTTGCCAGTGAGACTAATGTTATGAAACTGGTCAAGGACATTATTCACTCGAAAATGCCCTCGATATTTAAAGGACTCAAACACTCCGCTCAAGGACCATTTCTGGCTTACTATTCATGGACGTAAGAACATAGAACAGCAAGAAGGAAACTCTTCCAATGGAAGACAGAGGAGGAATTTGCACTCTGTGATCAAGCAGAATGAAACATCAACATTACACAGTATTTCCTTTTATCTGAAGAGCAGTTTCAATGTCGACACACTCTGCCAAAGAGAAGTCCTTGAACACATTTGCTGAAGGCGAAAAATCTGCCAGCATACAGGCCCAGCAAAAGCTGTATGGCTGCACAGATCACTTCCTTATTATTTAAATAATTCAAGTGAGGGTCTTGCCCCATGCTCTTCCTTTGCATGGGTGTAAACTTGCAGCCAAGTTAAAGAAATTGTTTCTCAGAGCACTTACTGCAGTGAGTAAGCCCAATTGCTTTCCTTGTGCACCTTCATTAGAGAGAACTGGAAGATTGGAGACGGAGAACCAAAGAAAAAAGTGAACTTGAGCACTGTTAAAGACAGTGTAAGTAAAGGGCTGGAATTACAGAATAGCAATCTGAGGCATCTTTCCCTTTAGGAAGTGCCATTTCTGGTTTTAAAATTTGAATATAACATAACACATTCTTTTTCATTCACCCCAAGGTTATCACAGGAACATACTCCTATATAGTGATAGCATAAAATTATTAAAAAGCATTTGTTTCTGTGCCTCTGTGTTGGAAAATGCTTTTCAAACAAAAGAACCTATATATGAATGCTGTTGTAAACAACACAGAAACAACTAATATTAATAATTTATTCTCCTGCTACCTTTTTTAAAAAAAAAAAAAAAAAAAAAGTTTGGTAGATTCTTACCATATTGTACCAGGCACTAACAATAAATTTCTCCTCCATTTCTCTTTGACTTTTTGTCTTTTCGTATTCTTTCTATAAAACAAACATTAAAAAGGGATACATTTAAAACCAAAGTATAATAAAAGTATTAGTCTACATCCAAAAGGCAATGAGGAAATAAGCAACTACCAGGAAACATGAGGATTACTACCTCCAGTGAATGAAACATTCTATCCCGCTCCTGCAATTGATTTTTCAGAGCCTGAATCTCAGGAGCTGCACCCTGGTTCTGCTTAGGATCTAAGGTACGGATGACCTGTAAAAGAAAAACAGTTTGGTTTTAAGAAGCAAAAGCAACCTAATTGAAGGGAAAGACATCAAGGAATTACAACCTTTTAATCCAGGTTAAGAAAAGTGACTTAAAACACGTTAATGTCTTTAGAAATGACACTCCAAAATGTTAAACAGAGGGAGGTGTAGTTTTGCAGAGGCTGACTCCTGAAAAATAATCTTGACAACCAGCACGACAGCCTCTACCTCTGAACATCAGCCATGGTATGTTAACAGAATCTGAACTGGGCTCTCTTTTACAGGACTGTGAAACAAAACTACCGATAGGCAAAAGTGACAACCAAGAGGTTCAGTATCCCAGTATCTAACTATCTCTACCTGCACTACCTTGGGGCCACAGTGGTAGAAACCTGTTCTCCAAGGTTTATCTCTTTATAGCTGAGGTTTACTTACCTGTGAATTCCTTCCACTTGAGGAAGGTCCACTTCAGTCCTTATGGAAAGATGCCACGATCACATACCTGGAGTACCAGGTGCTATCATTTCTAGACAGCATTCTAGAAATGGCACATGTGTGATCATTATGTTACTAATGTGATGCAGGGACACCTAGTTATGTTTGTATGAGGCATCCATCATAGGCACCATGAGTGCTAGCAAACACAGGGCCAAATCAGTAATAAATCCAGCAAAATGCCTACATTACTAAGCCTTTAGTAAAAAGTAGCTTAGAAACTCAAATAAAATATCAATGTATAGTAAAAGATGAAATGGGACTATCACTGAGACCATAATATTGCCGTTTCAAAGCTGGTAGTATAACCACACCCTTGGTATTAGCAACTCTCTCAACAGAAGCATATATTAATCAGTAAATGCAAAGAGAATGCTGAATGTCATCAGAGAAACAGAACAGCTCTCATAGTTGATTCAGTTAAAAGTATCACTTTACTTGGAAAACTATCAATAAAAGAGCTCATATTAAAACATTTTCTAAACCAGACTGCTAAACCAGAACATGAACAGAAATCAGGGTAGAAAGATGAACTAAGAAAGCAAAATCAAACTTAAATTGAAAAAAGAAGGATTTGGCACATGCGTAATGACGTCTGCCTGTAAATTCTGAGCACCTCAAAAGGAATAAGCAGTTTATGTGAGCAATTAGGACCTGATGAAATCTCAAGTAGTTAAAAGCTGTATTAATGAAAAAAAGTGTTTCAATCTATCTGCCCCAGGTAAGAGAGACATTACTGACTGAGCACCACAAGAAGCCTATACTATCCAGAAACACACATACACAGATCCATCCACCTGTGAAGGAGAGGACCCCAGACTTCCTTTTTCCTCTCTGCCAACCTGATAAAACTAGAGTTTGTTGGTCCAGCTGTGACTGCACCTGGTGTTACTAAGCTATATTTGTGTACAAAGAGCTAGAACTCTTCATGACAACTTTGTCAGAAGTCCCCAAAAATCCCAACGCAAATGTCAATTAAACAGTACTCTTGCTTACAGAGTTTCCTTCCCTTGAGTTGTTTTATGAGTGGTTCTCCAAATCTAAAATACAGCACAGCTATTTATTTCTACAGCACCAGTCCTAGTATGGGCACTGCTTTAGCTGATCTATACGCTTGTCACTCAGCATCAGAAGGCTGGAAGAATTCATGCAAAGAAATAGGTTATCACAGCATTTAGAAAGGGTTTAACACCCTCTCCTTGTCATCACCAATAAGAAAGCACGCTTAACAAGGTTTGTCTTGGTGACTCTCAAAAATCTGTAGCAGTAGGTAGACATTTGTACAGAGGCATCAGGAGGGCTTACAGATAGGTAACAGTCATGAACACAAACCAGGGTAACATCTGCAGAATTAATCTGTATTAGGTACTGTAACTGTAAGAAGATAAAAGAACTCACTGGTCCTTCCTTCTCTTTTATGCGTATACAGTGCATATACAGATACCCCCTTTATATTTACACCCTCAGACTGGACACATGGCGCAGTCTGTCAGAGAGGGATCATTAACATGCAATACTTATACTTACACTTTTGGCCTTTTCCAAATACTTTTTGTATCGCTCTTCCATTTGCTTCATTTCCTCATCTTTTTTCCGTAAAGCTTCTTGTAATTCTTCAATTTTGAGAGCTTAATGCCAAGAGATGCACAAATTGGAAAATAACATAATTATATTATTACCATGTTTTTCAACACACACTGAAGGCACAGCTAAAATTTACTTCAGTTTAGAAAAGCCACCATAAGGAACCATAATTTTAGTTACTGAATAGCTTAGGATCACATTCAAAATGTGTATTCTATATAATCTCATGAGATGGCTATTTTGTTCACAAATTTTACCCTTTTTAAGATACATATATTAAAAAAAAAGAGAAATGGAATCACAAATCAATCCCATCACTGAACACAGTTATAAAATGAGTTTATCGATGAATTACAAACTCTATAAAATCTTGATATCGTAACTCAGATTAATACAACTTTTCTTATTTTATGTAAAAGGAGTAATTCTTAACAGGTACAACTCTTGCTTAAATCTGCTGAACTGTAACACTGGACGCAATTTATCAGATTTGTAACACTGGACACAATTTATCAGACTTGTGACATAAGTATACTCAATTTACTTTCCCTCCCCACATTTTCTTAAGCAGCAATGCAGACCAGTAGGACAAGTTCATTGCACAGCTTTTTCCTGAGTTGATACAATATGTCGAACCACTATTGCTTATATCTCTTCTGTACATCTCCTCAGATCTCAGGGGGGGAAAAAAAAATAAAAATAAATTGCATCATCATGGATCAAATTGCAAATAACACTGATGTCAAACAACGTTGAATAATTGGTAACCTTCAGCCTATCTGTTCAGCAGCCTCATTTTAAAATGTCCTTTCATGGTTTTACTGCAGTTTTCTTTCTAAGCACTCGGAAAACACTAAGCTGGCAACAGGACCAAGTAAAATTTTCACTGCTCAGTAAGAGGACCAATAGCAGTCTCCCAGACTTGCAAGAGTCCATTTTTCAAAGCATGCCATGATTCTTGTATGATAATGCCCAAGCATTTTGGCTATATCCAGAATAATTAAAAGAACCTTAAAGAATAATTCAAATACATTTCCTGATCAGGGAAAGAAAGGAAGAAAGTACAACTATTTTTATTTTACCAAGACAAAGTTCAGATGTTAATTTTTAAAAAGCAACTTGCAATTTCAGTAAACTAAGTACAGAAGCCTCAATGTGCCCTCGTGTTTAGAGGCTAGCAAGTCATAGGACTGCTACTATGCTCACAGTGAAGCTAACCACATATGCTATGATTATATGTTTATTAGGTACTCATGAAGTCCTTGGACCTCATTTCCAAGAGTTCTAACATTTTCCAAGATGTGGACTTTATAATATATTCTGCAGTTTTAGCTCAACACAAATGAAGATTCTTTTTGGACACAGAATGTATGTAATGTATACTGAATGGTTATTTCTACCTTCCTCAATCTCTTTATAAATAAAATAGTCTGGGCACAAATGAGAAACGCTGACACTGGTTGCAATTTTTTAAGGCTTTGTTCTGTAATAAGTAGGCTTGAGGGGGAAAAAAGAAAATCTACCTTTTTCAATACTTCTTAGGAAAAATGTAGCATTACTATGCTAAAAAACAACTGGATGGTGGGTTCTTGATACCATCTGAGCAATATGACATATATCCTACACTTGACCAGTATCTGAAAATTCTCTCAAATTACAACACAATTCTGAAAAAACACTGAAGGAATATATATTGGAAGTAAAAATAACCTGGTGATGGCAGCAAGGATCTACTAAATTAGGGCCTATATGACAGTTGTGAACAGCTGATGTTCAATGACATGTATGAAACTGACTCAGTATTTTTATCACTACTGTGATTTCTTACTACAGTGGTCTCTCAAATGTTATTCCCTGCATTTCAAGTGTTAGAAATATCTTTTTTTATCATCATAGCTTCTAGATAAATTAACAACATACGTATCACTGGCATTCAAAATGTACTTTTTGGTTATCTTGCACCTCCTTTAGGTATTTTAATTAAAGACCTTATATATGAAAAAAAATTTAAAGAAAAGAAATGGATTGCACAGGTAACTCACAACTATTATTGCATCTTGGTTCCAAATCTTCAATAATAGCTCGTTTCTTCTGTAGCTCATTGTTAACTTCATGAAGCTTCTCACTGTTACAGAACATGAAAGCACATATTGTTTTTCCAGTATTACTACTGTGCTTGAATGAACGGTAAGTGGTACAAAAAATCCTCAGATAGTGATATATTTCTGAGGGCATAACTGATTTTTGCTGTAGGGCATAAGGACAAATGATAATATCACTGTGGAAATATTTGATAAATAAGCTGAGAAACATTATGTTGTACAAAGAACTGTTAACAACAAACATCTTCACTCTCAGTAATTATAAACTTGATTTTAAAACTTACATTGCACAATTAACATATACAGTTAATTGCACAATGCATGCCTAGAATGAATACTTGTAATTGAGATTATATTGAGGAAGAACAGCTAAATCCAAAGGCAACAGAAACCACTTTTTTTCTTTTTCTTTTTTTTTTAAAGCGAACACCTTTCTGCATTTTAGGGAGATAAAAGAAGTGCAGAAATAGCAGAACAAAATGGTAACACTTCCTAAAATGTTACATTTTATGCCATAATATATGCTAAAAAGTAAACAAAATAATTTTGTTTACATTAACATGCTTTCCTCGGAACAAAATTACTTAACTCCCCTTCAGTAAGATTTACAAATCTTAAGGAAGATTAAACAAAGTTTTCCAACCACCATAAAATGATGTTTATTTCATTGGTCTTATTGCTTTCGCGAAGGTTTTCTAAGAGATGAAAAGAGTATCTGAACAGCAGATTCCCAAACATTCCTGTGTTATCTATTTTCTTTTACTTGTATATTTTCCAGATGCCTGATTAATGACTGCCTGCCTTCCTTGCCATATGAAAAACACATGATTTCAAATGGCAAACAAAACAGGCAAACAAAATACTTACAGATGTTCTTCAAGTTTCTTCTTCAGAAGAATTGACTAGAACAGAAAAATAAATGTTTTATTTTAATATATTGTAGAGCTTTTACACAACTTCAAAATCATTCTAAAATACATGACTTTGACACTAATGAAAATCCAACTTTTTACTTGACTTAGTTTTAGATCATAACTGTAAAGCCATCCTCTGTGGTAGCAATCTTTCCATGGCTGTGTGAATTCCCTGAAATTAGAGAGCTTTATAGCTTTACAAATGTTTTCCCAGGAAATGTTCCCAAGGAACTACATTGATACAAACAAGATATATAAATGACAAAACTCTACGGCAGTTGTTTAAATTTCTTCTGTACTTTCGTTATTAGACTTACTAAATTAACCTGAAATTGGGAAGTGCAGCAAAATTTGCAAGAAAAGCTGTCCTACCAATATTGCAATGCAATGTGTATGAAGACATGTACTAAATTGGTTGAAGTAAATTCCCACCCCCATAGAAACTGGAGGAAGTAGAGTGTTTCTGACTGGAGTACAGCAAACATTTTGCCCTTTTTCTGTTTCTCATTACAGACATGTAAACATTATTATACAACTTACAGTGTTCCACTTTCTGGTTAAATCACATTTAGATAAGCTCTTTGAATAAAACCCTCAAAGTAAATTTTAGTTTAATTTTAAACTCACTTCACAGACAGTGAGTATCTTTCAAAAAAACGAACCCAGTAAAGTCTATAAACTGAAAGTAGTGTTAAGTAAATAGAAAGCCATACTCACAATAGCCTTGAGCAGAAGCCCATGCCAAGAAACAGAGATGACATTAGTATAAAGCAAAACAGCAGCAAACAGAAGAAACTATTTAGAAAGTCATGAACAGAAAGTTATAGCTATGCATTTTTTCCACACATGCTGATTTTTCTCCTCTGTTCTCATCAGCAGTTTCATTCTGTAACATTTTCTAAAACATACCACTAAAAACAAAAATATAAAAATAGTAAAGAAGCACATTTGTAAATCATTGTTTAAATCAGAATTTCAAAGGAGAGCAACTGCTATTTTGGAAAGTGATTTTAAAACAAAAACCATACAAGTAACAAAACAGGAGAAAAATATGCATTCTATGGGGCTACAACCAAAATTAAGAGATGCGTATGTTTTTATGGAGTGATTCTGAATTGTGTTATTGACACAGTGATTGAATGCAAGACAAATGTAAAATATTTAAACCAGAAACTGCCTTTTTGTTTTGTGTTTATCATATTGCAGGTCTAGCATGTGACAGATGGTCCAGGACGCCATCAAAATATAAGATAAAATCATCAACAAAATTATTTCACTGCTTTTTTTCCAATGTTCTTTCAACTAGGTTTTGACACCTGGCCAACAGAGACAACTACCATGTGTACCGAAAAAAACTTTTAGCTTTGTTGTAGTGTAAATACTTCAAAATGTTGTCTTCGATCACATTCTTGGGTCATGCTTTTTTGTTATTTCAAAGCTGGATTTCGTTACTGCACTGTAAGAATCGGGTAGACCCCGAAAAAAAACCCAAACCAGCCATCATGACACTATCTATTTCAAAGTCAGAAATTTGTAGCAGGTAAGGATCTGCAGGGTTTGACCATTTGGGTTTTTGTCTTTTCCAGTCCTCTGAACAACTGCAGAAACATCACTTTTTCTGTAACAATAAATGCTCATGTGTGTCTTTCTTGGTCACAAAGCATTTAAACTGGCACCATCACTTATGTCTGATCAGTTAGGGGACTATTGGTTGGTTTGGACAAGAAATGGAAAAGTTGGCAGTAGTGCACATTTTCCCAAGGTAAGAAAATAAAAATTGAACCCAGCTTTTCTTTTGTGATCCTGATATTGCATTTAGGTTTGGAACAGACTCAACTGCTCGTCAACATTGATTCCACTGGTGTATTTTTATATGTATTATTTGCAGAGTACCAGCATTGTTGTGGGAGTAACCCCTCTCCCATCTAGACAGATCATATGTTCTCACAAGCAAGAAACTAACAATGATAAACAGAACACACAGTTAAAAGAAGCAGGACTGAGTTTACCCAGAGTCATTTACTCAAGATGCAAGATTAAGAATAAAAAGTAAAATGTGTGATTTTAGCCACACAAAGATCCTGTATATTCTTACAACAAGGCAAATTCAAATAAATTACTCTAAGAATGGGCAAACATTACTTTTTTTTTTTTTAAGTCTCTGTCAGCTTCAATGTCACATATGCACATCCTCTGCTCCTAACAAGTAACCACTAAAATTGTTGTTCTGATGTTCTCTCATAGGAAGACCAGTCTCTTAAAAAAAAATCCCAATTAAAAAAAACACGCTTTCTCTAATTTTGAGCTGGTTTTACATTTAACTTCATTCAAATTTTATCTGTTCATAATACAAGAACATTTCTCTAACAAAATTGTAAAAAATCAGCAAACATACACTTCCTATTTTGCTTTTTCCTCTGACTGCTAACAAGTTTCACCTACAAAACACCAGAAAAAATGCTTATCATGATGTGATTTTAAAAAATAGGTATCCTCTCCTATATTTAATTGTCATCTTTCTTTTACATCAAAAAAACTATAGAAACGTCTTTTTCCTGGAAATTTCTTTCATGCTTAAACAAGCCAAAAGAACAAGTCTGTCCCTTTTTTGAGGAACAAGTTTGGGTTTGTTCTGCATGCTAAGGTCACAGGCAGATGGCTCTGGCTTGAGGTTAAGCTAATTTAGCAGGGTGAGGGAAACTATTGCACATGACTTGCGAAAATCACTTGATGAGACTAGCAACACTGTGAGAAGATGACAGAAGTTATTAACAGCACTAGGAAGGATGGTCAGATTTCACAGATGCTAATTGTAATCACAGAATCATAGAACAGTTTGGGTGGGAAGGGACCCTTGAAGGTCATATAGTCCAGCCCCCAGCACTAAGCAGGGACATCTTCAACTAGAAGATGTTCCCATCCAATCTGACCTTGAATGTTTCAAGAGATGGGGCATCTACCACCTCTCTGGGCAACCTGTTCCAGTGTTTCACCAAACCAGCAAAGTGGCTGAGCTTCACACGTAACAGTTTTGGGGACTTTTTAAGGAGGTGCCAAGACAGGAGGACCTAGTAACTATATCAATAACAGCATGTAAAGCCAAGATTGCATGTATAACAGTATGAGAAACACCGGATGCAGTATGGATTTAGCAAAGCTAGGCCCAGTGGGGTAGAAGTAACTAAGGGCAGGGTTTTTTATACAACAGGGGATTAGGGCAGAGAAGGGCAGAACAAGTATGACATAAGAGAGCGATAATAAGGCATGCAAATGATGTAGTTGAAGCTGTCCTTGGGTGCCTGTTGAGGCTACACATAACCACTGCATTCTGGAGGACAACAAATCACACCTGCTACTCTGACCACACCAGGCACATCTGAGTTGATTCTGTAGTTTGGAAGACTGGGGTAAGGAGGCCTGTCTCTGCGTAGCAAGGCAACAACCACGATGGACTAATCAGGCACCCCAACAGGATGCATCACTGACCATTACAGGTCCAACATATATTTTAGGCACAGATACATTTCTAACATTAATCTTCCACTGCACTTCAATACAAAATCAAAACTTCTTCCCCATATGAACCTTGGCAAGCAGGACGTATTACTGCAATGATACTTCCCTGGGTTACTATAGTGCTTTTACTACTTTTTGGTCAAGCCTAAAAACTGCTTTAACTTTGAAAATAAACAAAGCTAAAAAAACCCAAAAACAAAACAAACCCAAAAAAACCCCAAACCAAAAAACCCAACACCCCCAAAATCCGAACAACAACAAAAATCTAAACAAGCAAAAAACCAAAACAAAAACCCAATCCCAAGCCCCAAGCCCTCACCATACGTTTCTGGACTGAATACAACCAGGTTTTCTGGGTTGAGCATGTTTACAGTACAAGTACACAAAAATACAGATTTCAGTGCACAGCTGCAGAAAAGTAGTGAAGAACAGAGGTAACACGCTGAAAATGATGCATCCCCTGTATCCATGTCTTTCTACCCTTTTTCTCATGCTTCTGAAGAATTACTCTTTCTGTAAGGGTATCTCAAGAGTAATTCAGGTGGTCTCAGCACAAATTCTATCTCCTTGAGCACCTGGGTTTGACTTTGAGGTTTCCTCTGCTTTGTGTAAGAGACTGGATGAGGTGTCAATACCTTCAGAGATTCTTGCAGCCTCAATACTTTGCTGAGTCTACACCCTTGCTTCTTCAACAGTAAATGAAATCCTACACACCGAACTCATCAAAACAGGCCATGTGATCATGCCTATAAATCACCACTGACATGGTCAGACCTACACATAAGCCAGGAATGCAACAACTGCATTGTGAACTTGCCAGCTCTGAACTAACACAGGCTGCCTGGAAACCACAGCAGGTTGTACTGTAGTGTTGCGATAGTGGTGTATTGCAGTTAATAGAATCATTTCAGATGATGCCTGCATAGGCTTCAAGCCGTCCTGTGTGTTGCAGACATGTCCTAAATTACTGTCCAAACCAGAGCCTCAAAAAAGGAGACAATTAAAATTGCAGTAAATAAAGCTGAATTCAATTAGGCAGGGATAATTTACAACTTTCAGTATCTGAAAGTATTTTTTTCACATTCTTGTTCACTCTGAAAAATCTCATTTTGGCCAATAACTAAGACAAGAAAGCATATCTCAGAATCACACAATAGGATGGACCTATTTTAAAATGCATTCTAAAATTTATTTTAAGAAAAGTAATCTTATTTGAACTCGACTAGATGTTTTATTTTAATACAGTTTATTCTGAAAATTTAAAGGATAAGCTAAATTAAACACACTCAAATGAAAATAAGCAACTAGTAAAAACTTTCACTGGTTTATATAAATTAGTTAAAAACAAACCCACAAAAGTAGAAAGCAACACATTACAACTTGTTGCCAATTAGCTACACGATACACTGAGATTGTAAGCATACACTGTGCATGTACAGTCCCGCAAATCACTGCTTTCAAGAAAGTTCTAGAGCTTCTTCTCTCAAACACAGGAGATAGCAAACACAATCTTTGAGTGGAAGACTGAAAGTTGTTTTCCACACTGACTGCCACGATGTGTATTCTTACATTAAAAGCAATGTTAACTCCATACACAGAAACAGAAAATGCTGCATTATGTTGAGGGCCTAATTATTTGACTTTTATTTTAGTTTTGGCCTGCCTAGCTTCTTGCATTACAAGATACATTTACATCCACAGTTACAGAGCTTCCACTGGCAGGAAAGGCCTTAACTTTTAAGAAAACTAAACCAAAAATAGTTTCAGATGCTTTACTAAGACATGGAGAATTACCATTTCCTTAACTCCCTGCAAAACTCTCTATTCTACATACGTAATTTTAATGCTAAATTTACTATCAGAACAGACACAATCAAATAAAATATATTTGACACCTATATAGGACAGCTTTCTGTTCTAGACAAACGTCTTACTAGGTCTCACATCTTATTTAGAGAAGTACAATTTCATGATAGGACCATATGAATAAATACGGAATACTATCAAAAGTCTCCACTTGCATATTTCTTTTACATAATTTTTTACAAAAAGGTGAAAGTCTCAAAAAAAGTTTCGGTAACTAGTTGAATGTAAGTTTGCTGCACATTTCTACTTACATCTTCAGCTTTTGAACCTTGATCCTGCAAGGACTTCTGTAGTTCTTCAACCTGGGACTGCACTTCTATAAGTCTCTGATTTACCAGTCTAGAAAAGAGACAGTATTTTGTGTTTTTAGAAAAAACCCAAACAACTGCAAGAGGAAGCCTGAGGTTTTTAGTGTCCGGTGTTTTCAGGTCATTTACACAAGAGGTGCAGAAAATTCACAACAGTAGTTAGAGCATAGAGCATTTCCAGAGATTATAGCCTGCAGTCATCCAGAACAATCTGATATTCTTCCAAGACAACATAAATGCATGTATTAAGAAATCATTTCTAGTTACATGAAACAAGAATTGCTAACAACCAGTTTTACTGTGAAAGCTACTAGTTTACCGCTTTTACACAGTCAGAGAATCCTACAAACTTTGTTGGAAATGATCTCCAGAGGATGCCTAAATCCAACCTTCTCCTTAAAGCAGGTGCACTTATAGCAGATTGCTGGGAACCACGTCCAGCCCATACATGGACACCTTTAAGGGTGGAGATCTGACAAACTCTTTGGGCCTCTATTCTAGAGCTCAGGCACACACTCCGTATTTGTCTGCTGCCTCTTGTCCTTCCACTGACAAGCTCTAACAAGAGCCCATCTCTGTCGTCTTGACACCTTTCCATCAGGCAGATGCACATCACAGTATTAGCTCCTTTATGCCACCTTTTCTTTGGCCTGAACAAACCCAGTTCTCAGTTTTATATCGCATATCACATACTCCAGTGCCCCTCACCTTATTAGCATTCCACTGCACTCCAGCACACACGTCTTATTTCTTGTACTGGGGAATCCAAAATTATATGCTATGTCCAGATGTGATTTTGTAAGTACTGACGAGAGGTGAAGGATCATTTTCCCAGACTGACTGCCTGATCCCTGGTGAGGACAGCCCAGGTCATAGACAGCTGCAAGTTCCCCCAGCCAACCCATCATCCTTTGGTGCCCACTGGAACACCAAGGCTTTTGCCACAGAGCTGCTCCCAAGCCTACGATTCCGAGCCAGGGACTGGCACTTAGCTTCAGGAATAGCATGAAAGAGTCCAGAGAACTACAGAGATTTGTTAGCTAAGTGTAATATTTACTGTCCCAGGCTTCAGGAACCTGCCCCAGTCAAAGGGGAAGACTGCGCGAGATTAGACAAAAAGCAGATTCAAAGCTTAGATGTAGAGCAGCATCGCAACAGTATCAGCTAGCTAAGTTTACACGCTCAGATGCAGGATGTCTGATCCCACAGAAGTCTGTATGCTTACTGGCTTAATCTAGCAAGGTCAGCTACAGCAGACTGCCCAAGAATATGTCCTGTTGTGTATTAAGTATCTCCAAAGATGGACACAATCTCTCCAGGCAACCTATTCCAGTGTACAGCAATCCTCACTGTAATAATGTTCTTACATTTAGATGAAATTTAATGTTTTAATTTCTGCCCACTGCCTTTTGCCTAGTTACTGGGCACCCTGGAGTAGAGTCTAGCTCAATCTCCTTTAGACCCTCCCATCAGATATTTATAAACACTCCTAAGGTCCACCCTGAGCCTTCTGTCTTCCAGACTACATAGTCTCTATCTCTCAGACTCTCCTTATATGAAAGATGCTGTAGTGTTCTAATTACATCCTTGTGGTATTTCACGGGACTGACTCCAGTAAGTCTTTCTTGTACTGGGAAGGCCATCACTGGACACAGTACAATCAAAAGTATATTGTTAGAATTGTCAATTGTTAGAAAAGTCAAGAAACAGAAGACAAAACTTCTCACCTGTTTTCTGTCTCCAATTCATTCTTTCGCAAGTTTGCATCATCAAGAAGGCTCTGCAACAAGGCTATCTTTTCATTGTCAGAACCTTCTTGGTTCAACTTTAGCATCTTGTTCTCATGCTGAAGGCGAATGAGTTTCTCCCTAAACACATAAAATACGATTTTGTAGAAAACAGTTTGTCAATCTCTGTGAAGAAGAAAACAGTTTACCACAGAAGGTGTAAATATAACATGCAAATTATCTTTACCTATTTAAGGGAAACAACTATCTTGTCTTCAACCCCCTAACTACAAACTCAATTAAATGAGTTGCAATTGTAGGAAAGCACAACACAAGGATACTGCCTGAATACCCCTATTAGGTTTCACACTGGAAATTTCACACAGGCTGGACAGATTTATAGGTAGAATGTGAAGAACGCGAAGCTTACTGCCAAGCATTAAGAAAAGTTATCATCTCAAGTGCCACTAAACTACTGCATGAACCTGTGTAAAGTTCTACCCTGTTGGTCTGTTTTCATAGAATCACAGAATCATTTAGGTTTGAAAAGACCCTTAAGATCGAGTCCAAACATTAACCTAACAATATCAAGTCCACTACTAAACCATGTCCCTAAGTGCCATGTCTTTTGAACACCTCCAGGGATGGTGACTCAATCACTTCCCTGGGCAGCCTGCTTGACAACCGTGTTGGGGAAGAAATGTTTGCAACATACAACCTAAAGCGCCCCTGGTGCAACTTGAGGCTGTTTCCTCCTGGCCTGTCATGTGTTATTTTGGAGAAGAGACCGACCACCACCTCACTACAACCTCCTTTCAGGCAGTTGCAGAGAGCAATAAGGCCCCCCCTGAGCATTCTCTTCTCCAGACTAAACATCCCCAGGTCCCTCAGCTATTCCTCATCACACTTGTGCTCCAGACACTTCACCAGCTTTGTTGCTCTTCTCTGGACCTGCTCCAGCACCTCAATGTCTCTCTTGTAGTGAGGGGCCCAGAACTGAACACAGGATTTGAGATGCGGCCTCACCAGTGCTGAGTACAGGGGGATGATCCCTGCCCTGGCCCTGCTGGCCACACTATTACTGATACAGGTGAGGGGGTCGTTGGCTGCCTGGGCACAAGCTTCTTCAGCCATCAATCAGCACTCCCAGGTCCTTTTCCACTGAACAGCTTTCCAGCCACTCTTCTCCAAGCCTGTAGCATTGCATGTGATTGTTGTGGCCCAAGTGCAGGACCCAGCCCTGAGCCTTGTTGAACCTCATACAACTGGCCTCAGCCCATCAATCCAGCCTGTCCAGATCTTTCTGCAGAGCCTTCCTATCCTCCAGCAGATCAACACTACTTGATAAAGATCCTAAACAGAACTGGCCCCAGTACTGAGCCCTGGGGAACACTATTTGTGATCAGCCACCATCTTACTTTAACTCCATCACTTTTTAGGCTTGCCATCCAGTTTTTTACGCAGTGAAGAGCACACCCATGCAAGCCATGAGCAGCCAGTTTCCCCAGGAGATGCTGTGGGTAATAGTATGAAAGACTTTAGTAAAGTCCCAGTAAAAAACCATCCACAGCCTTTCACTCATCCACTAAGCAGGTCACCTTGTCATATAAAGACATAAGGCTAGCCAAGCAGCGTATGCCTTTCATGAATCCATGCTGACCGGGCCTGAATGTGCCATGTGATGGCACTCAGGATGATCTGCTCTATAATCTTCCCCAGCACTGAAGTCAGACTGACAGGTCTGTAGTTCCTCAATTCCTCCTTAGCGCCCTTCTTATAGATGGGCATCCTATTTGCTAACCTCCAGTCACTGGGACCTTCCTGGTTAGCCAGGACTGCTGACAAATGATGGAAAGTAGCTGGGTGAGCACTTCCACCAGCTGCCTCAGTCCCCCTGGGGGATCCCATCCAGGCCCATAGACACGTGTGTGTCTAAACCATCAGGCAGGTTGCTCTTCATTTCCCTTTGGATTATGGGGGCTTCCTTCTGCTCCCCCTTGCTGTCTTCCAGCTCACCGGTGCTGATTACCCAGAAGAGAAGCAAATTTTTTCTATCGAGAGCTTTCTAGAAGGATACTATTTTACTATTGAACATAAGCTTTGACCCATATTGAGCTCTCCAAGTGTTAGTATCAGTATTGCTAGAGGTAAAGAAAAGATTTCCTGAAGCGCTAACAGATTTCTGAGATGTGGCTGTCTTAAAATCTTTTAGCATACTGGCAAGGCTAAACACAGCATGCAATATCTTAAGGTACAATGATTTTCAGCTCTGCCACTGCTGTTCTTCCTTTTAATAGACAGTAAACATTTGCCATGATACAAAATGGCATTTATAATCTACTGTTTCTTTCACAACTTCGGTAATTTTTTTCCTTGTACACCACCACATTCTTGTTACAAACGTTTCTGCCTGTTAATGAACATATAAGCTGCCATTATTCAAATTCTCTGCAGGACAAGAAGAGACACAAAGTGAGAACAAAGGGGTTTTTTTTTGGTTTCCAAACCCCCCCCCCCCTTTTTTTTATTTTTTGAGGACAGTACAAACCCAAAGAGAGGTCAATAGAATTTTGTCTTAAACACAGCAGCTCCTGCTGTGCAGGAATCAAAAAGGAGAGAAAAACCCCAAACATTAATCACAGAAACTTTCTAACGCTGAAAACTAATCAATCATCTATGGATGTACATTGCAGAGGTTAGTAAAACAAAGCACACATTAGCTTACTTTATTTCAGGAGTAATGATTTCTGCTGCTAAACTGTCTGAAGGCTCTTGTCTTTCCAGAGGCATCAATCCTGGTGAGGAAAGTAAAAAATTTAGCAAGCTGACCAGTAATTTCTTTTAACAGACCAGAAGCAGGTAATGTTCTAGAAGCTTACAGTTCTAGAGTAATGCTACACAGTGGAAAAATGACACAAAGTCAGGCTACAGCAAGACAGATGGACAAGCAATATTTCATTAGAAGAATAATCATTACTGCCTTCTTTCATTCTGATAAAGTAATTTTGTGTATTTTCTTCCCATTAGCTTATCTAAGAACTACAAAGCTGTGCAACATTACACATAGCAATAAACTGCAACACACAAAACTTCATACACACAAGAGAGAACTTATTATATCTTTAAAGAATATTATGTAACTACACAGAAATCATAAATACATTTTGAAATGTATTTCTCCACTGGGGAGGAGACCCAAAGTTATCATTGACTGAAATAACATTTAAAGTTTTTAAATGTTTATAAGGTTATTCATAACTCAAGCAGCTTTTCACTGCTCAACAAAAGCACATTCAATACTCTTCAGGGTATTTACAGGACTCCAAGGGAGTTCTATAAACTTCAGAAAAGATAAACTTAATCTTCTTATTTGTCCTTTACCTGTAGTGGTGAGTTGACCTTCCTGAGCTTGGACACATCTAAGCTCTTCAATAGTTTCTTTCAAAGAATCCCTTTCTGTTCTTAATCTCTGAATAATTGGAAAGAGAACGAGTATCAATCTTGGCACTACAAATTCATCTTTAACAGTACACAAGTTATCAAAAGGCATAGCCTTTAACACTTTAAAACAAATCTAATGCAACTGTGGAGACGATTTTCAAATTAAGGCATCTCTGTATTTCACAACAGAAAAAAAATAAAAATTATATACTCCACAAGAACACTGGGTTGTTTGTTTTTTCAGAAGGGTTGCTGTTCTGTATTAAGCTTGTGGAGGCAGAAATAGCAGGGTATAACCTTAGAAAATCGAGATACTAGTGACACAAAGTTCTGGTACCAGGTTGTAAATAGCATCTATGGGGGCCACCCAGTCACTGTCCTTTTCCCTTCATCAGATTTTCCCTGACCAAGAAACAAAAGTTCAGCCAGGAGTGAAATAAAAAGCAGGTGAGTACACAGTCAACATAACAAACAAACTGCATTAACTTCATTTTGTTTGTCTTTCTACAGTGAAAGTGTGAGCAGCATTACCCTATCCCCTTCCTCCTGTGTGTCAGCTGGCCTTGCAATTCACCAGCCATCTTAGCTACAGAAGAAAATTAGTTGCTTAAAGCTCCGTCAAAAGATAAATGGAGACCAGAGCTCGACCACCTTGGGGTCTAGACAGATGGGCTCTTCAGTAGCATCACGTAAATATTCCATCAATTTGTCACAAGTTTCCTTTTAGCAAAAAAAATTGAGAATCTACAGGCAGCACCAAGTTTTTGCCCAAACTCAAAAATTACAGGAGAAAACGGCAACTATGGTTGTAGTCTGCTCCAAAACCAGAATGTCCAGTAGTACTAAAAGGTCTAGGGCAGACCTCGGGCCTGTGTAGATACAGAGTTGTGTTGGCTGACAGCTCCATGCATTGCCTCCTATTAACAGTTTGATTTGGATGTATTTTATAATTCAGCCCAAATGGATCCATGACTTGGAATCACAGCCAAAGAACATTTTGGTGAGGTGTGACACAGCTCCTGCTGTATTTCTGAATCCTGCAAGGTAAATTATGGTGCAACTGTCAGAACAATCCGAATAAAGTGTATATTCTGTTAGCACTGAGAGTCATTTCGCAAACCCTATAGATGAATTATTTTACCATAAATACTACAGAAGAAAAGCCACACAGACAAGTGCTCTAAATTAGTTGCTGATAGCAACAATACCAATGTCTGCTACAGCGAGTCAGAGAACACCAATAAAAAGCCAGAATATTTTAATGACTAGAAAAAGCTCTAAGCTTCTTCTGTACACTGCAGACAAGTCAACTCATCAAATTATCTTGGTACTTATCACACACACCACGGAGGTAAAATTCCAAGCGACATAGCTGAAAATACTGAACTCTGCCACAACATAAAGGGGGAAAAAAAAAAATCAATTTCATTTAACTGTAGGCAAAATGTAACTGACAAGATACCACTATGTAGCTTGTGACCTATGGTGCAAAACCTTACTGATACCTATGTGACAACAGGGAACAGAAAGAGTTGGTAACATAGGTAGTGAATCACTAATTCAAATGTTGAGAGAATTCAGCTATAATCTACTTCTCACAGGTGCATATCCATTCAAAAGAATGTACTAAAACCAACATCCACCCCTAAGAATGCTGTTTGTCAGGGGTAAAATGGAAAACCATATGACAATGGCCTGCAATTCAGATCCTTTGTGCAAGATGAAATGGTCCACCAAGCAATGGATAAGCCACAGAAAAAACCTTACCATTGTCAAACATAACAAAACTGGAAAAACAATTTTTAAATAAAGAGCAGGAAAGAAAATCAAAGCACAGTACAAATACAGTTACTATGGGCATTCCAATCTGAACTGAAGGACAGATGGAAGTGATATCAAGGACAGGTGTCCACAATAGTTTGAGAATTTAATAAGAATATGGAAATCAAAGAACTACGAACAGAAAATAACTGAAAACTTTCAGTTCAATTGCTAGTCAAGTGCAGGGGCTGGAAATTTTTGAAAGAATTGGACAGGAAATATGACCATTGAGGGAAAAGCCTACAGAGATTCTGACTGATGGGCAGAAGGACTTATATTTAAAACAAGGTAACTCAATTGCTAACTCAAAGTGCAGGCCTTGTTTTGAGGCTGTTTAAGGCACTTGCTTATACATTCTTAAGAAAGAAGCTGAAATAAACTGGTGAGAAACAATAGTATGCAAGAGAAGCCTGAAGGATCAGTCTTGGCAAGAGAGGACACAGCAATTAATTGTAGAATCATCAGCAGCAAATGAGAGAGAGGAAGGAGTAGACTGGTATACACCCTGTGCATTCCATGTTGGCAGTACCAAGACAGATCAGCAAGGAGCTGTCATAAAAGGCAAGACTGCCACAAATGACATGTCCCTCTACATGACTCCTAAGCCTTTTGCTGCAGTAGTCATGGCTCCACAAAGAGAAGCATGCTGATGGCACCTCTCAAAGAATGCTTTAGAAAAACGCAACAGGACTTCAGTTCAAGCATGATACTGCAGAAACCCTACTTTAAATAGTTTTTCAGAATGCAATACAATTACCCTTGGTGTTTATTAACTTTCTCATGGTAAATGTTCAAGAAACAACTTCAGACCCCAAATATGAAGGCTGTTGCTCTTAAAAAATCTGTGCATAAGTTTTTGTACAGTCATGTTATTCCACGCTGTACAGTTCTTAGGTTTAAAAAGGATCTTGTACACAAACATTTGAAAATTTTCACTTAAGAATTCCTAATTTAGAAAGCTAGCTGTTAATAGCTAACTGTAATTACATATCTCTGTGTTATAAAGGACACAAAGTTGCTATCGCTACTACCAGAAAAATAACACCTTGGCACTTACATCTTTTTCTTTTTGGAGGCTGTCTACTTTTTCTTTCAGTCGTTTGCATTCATAATCTAATTTATCAGCTTTCTTGGATTCTTCAGATAACCTGTTTTGTAGTTCAACTGCCTGTGAGAACAAGAATCAATAATTTGTCTGCAAATATTAATATTAAAACAAAATACAGAAGACAAACTAGCCAATTACCATGCACCACAAGTCATGTTGTAAACAACTGAAATAGTTAACCTGTAGGACATACTAAAAACTCCTTTCATCATGTGTTCTGTGTTCAGCAAACCCAAGAGCATTCAAATATTAGGTCTTAGCACAAGCAAAAGAAGCAAAAGCTGTGAAGTATTTTCAGTACATCTAAATCCAAGAATTTAAGTCCAAGCATGTTTTACAGAAAAAAAACTATATGGTTCTACGGATCAAAGAGCTTAGGAAAAGGAGAAAAGTCCTCCTGCATTCTGAGAAGCCCAGGAAAAAGAAAAACATTCTAAAGAAAGCAAATTATCTACACCTTTTGTTAACTCTATTTCACAAGCCTCACTCAGAATTCAGCCACCAGCTTACACAGTCAGGTATTGTTTCTTAACCTGAGATGTGTTCAATCATTTTTAATACACTGGTATAAAGATTCAGCCATAGGCTTAGAAACCGTTTCTTTACTTCAGAAGGAAACATCGCTAACAACATAACATTTATTCTTTCAACTACAGATCACTAAAGAGCCTTTAAAATTAAATGAGCAGAAATCTGAAAACTGAGCAGAAACGATCAATGGATAAGAGGCACATCAGTGAAGTCTCGCCTTTTTGAAACTCTTGGCTTCTACTAGCAAAGGCTCATTCCTAGCACGTTAGTAAAACTCATAATGCAGAGAGCATGGAAGCAAGTAAGCTGAGTAGACTGACCCGCAAACACAAAAGCTGAATGAAGACTCAGCTAAAGACGTACAGCTGCTTCTGAAGCAAATCATAAGAAGGCTTTTTCATGGCTTTTAGATTACAGAGAAAGTGATTATCTTAAATTGTGAAGCAAAGCAGTAGCTATACCTACATTAAGACTGCCTGGTGGTTCTCATTACTTTTTATTTCAAATAGTGTATAGCTATTGCAAAATAACTACTAGCTCTAAAAATCTGCACGATCTTAAGTCTTACAGAAGGACTGCTATTGTTCTTCTTAAAGGCTGCAAAAAAAGCACAGACCTCCCATTTCTGAGATTATCAAGTTAAAAAAAATAATATATACATATATCAAAATATTAGATATGCAAATATTTTGTTTCTCAGATGTGACATCCATTACTGGGGCTATCAATAACTACAAATGCATTAATGTTTGCAATCACTCATGCTATGGTAATGGTATGTAGAAAAACAGAGCAGGAAATAAATTGTCTGAAATCAGGACTTGTGAGAGTAGAGAGATACACAGCTACACGATAATGCAGAAGACTAAAAAAAAAAATAAAAATGAACTGCCATCACATTTACTGAGCATTATCTGACATGTGGAATGAGTAAAGCAGGAATCCTGCAGCAAAGAAAAGCAAGACATACTGTTAAAAATTTATCAGGATGCACATGCACAAAGGGGCTGAATTAATACTGCAAAAAAAAAAAAAAAAAAAAAAAAAAGAAAGAAAACCCCAAATCCTGGAATCTTCATATTTCAATTCTCCATCCTGCAACAAAAAGTTTCTTAGAAAATACTTGTATTTGCTATTAGAACAGTGAACAAAAAGTCTTAAATAAATAAATGCTATTACATCTCCTAGCACCAACAACCTCATCTCACAGAAACTGCTGGTGGGGTGAAGATGTGATTCCCATGAAGATCACTACAAGAGTTTGAACTTTCCTTTCTACAAGAGTTTCACTTTCCTTTGCACAGCACAGAGCTTTTAAGCCAATGAAATAACTCCTCTGATGGCATCATCATGAGTGGGGTTGAATGCTGCACACACCAGACAAGATACTTCCACAACAAGGGCACACTAGCACCCAGCAGTGACTTAGCACCAGAATCCTTATACCAGGCTTAATTCTGACAGCACGGGTTAGGATTCCCAGAAATTAATTTTATGAAAACTCATGATTCACAGGTGGTCTCAAGGATAAGACGTTCAGCCTTACAGGCACCAAAGGCAAAGACACCGTGTTCATTTTGAGGCACTGTGGTTAGATAAAGAAAACTCACATCTGCCACAAGATACCTCAGAGTTTATTGCAGTCTCAGCTAGCAGAATAGTTCTGTACAAATCAACAGCTCCTCAGACATTAAATCCTACCTAATAATGATGGGACTTCCCCTTCCAAAATCCTTATTATTGGTGAAATAAGGATGACCAGATGCAGATGTCAAAGTTACATGACTGTTTCACATGCTTAGCTGTTCAATGGAGTGAAATACTTGCTGCCAGTAAACATGGTACTAATCACATGTGAAAGGCCATTGCTTTCTACATTTACTTTTCCCTCTCTTTGTCTGTTATTTCAGCATTTTTCTTGACCAAGTTATTTTTTTCCGGTGGAATCATCTGGACTGTTACAATTAGTCGATAGATGCCGAAGCTAATTGTCTTAATTAAAATGTCCAGATGCAGGAAAAAAAAGCTATTGAGTCTTAGGGACACATATTGCCATTGCTGCTGGGCTTGCACTGTTCTTAGTAGTTGTTTCTGTATTTTCATTCTGCTGTAAGCTGACTTATAGGGACCCCTGTGACATGACCATTCATGCTTATTAGCAGGCAGAAATATAGAGCAGGCAGTGCCACTTTAATGAACCACGCTCTCTCTGCCCCTGTAACAAGAATCCCAGAATGATGTCATGTCAGTGAGTGTAGAAGAAGAGAGAAGATGAAGCACACCTTCTGCCTTTACTGAAACAGGACCACATGGCACTTTGATAAGCAGGAGAATAAACAGATGCCATTCAGAGAGCATGCTGGTGGCACATGTTGTGCTCTAATGGGTGCATATAAACAACAGGGATCCTTTACTCTTCTTAATTGGCCAAATTCAGAAAAAATAGAACCTCAAAAAGAGATTACTTAGCCACAAGAATAACTTACCTCATCTGTGGTGCATTCCTCACTGCTGGAAGTGAAAAGTGGACACTTTTTCTGAATGAGGCAGCTCTAATTCAAGCCTCGCTACTGAATACAAATTAGGAATAATTTGAGAAAAAAATCTGTTGATTTTTTAAAAGGAAGAAATACTGCTTATTGTCAAACTAATGTAAACTTGAAATAATGATAGTAATTGCAGGAAAGAAGGACAAAGGTAGTATCTACAAAACATGGAAGTCTTCTAAACACAAGGGCTGTTTGTTGATAATTTCTTTTTTACTTTGAGGTATTAGCCATGTTATGACAAGAAAATATTGAACAATACAGAGAACTGTTGTTATTGATAGTGTCTGTTCTCACCTGTCTTTTGTATGTTTCCAGCTGACTACGTGCTGCATTGGCTTTCCTTAGTTCTTCTTCCAGACTCACGGTATTTTGCATGTACATTGTATTCTTCTCCTCTAAGAGTTTCACTTGCCGTCGCAGATCACCCAGGTCTTCCAACTTCTTTTTGTATGACTCTACCTGGCTTTCTAACTTGGCTACTTTATCAGAAGAATGCCTAGAGAGACAGACTTTTATCAAATTTGTGCTCTGAAAACTGACAAAATTAAATGTCCTGAAGCTTCCTCATTCTTCGTCTTAATGCAGAACATATCCTGAGACATCACAGCAAGAAGAAGAAAGCAATTGTATCCTCCTGTTACTAATGTTTACACTTTTAAATTGTCTGCTTCCCTTCCATAGATACTTGTCAACTCAAAGAGCTATTGATGGGGGTACTTTTAGACACTATCACTCACAGATAGCTTTAGTAGAAAGCTGCTGGTGAATTAGAAAAGGCAATATTAAAATACACCTTGCTAGACTTGCCAGAAAGAGTGATACAGGTGGGTAATGGATAATTGTTCTGAATAACTCACGGCAGCAAGATGCCACTACTGAAATATTATGTTCCACAGTAAAAAGGCCCACTGCACCCTATAAAACCCTAGCATCATCAAATCATGACGACTTTGGGTGGTAGTTGTCATAAAATCCAGTGGTAAAGAGAGCTGTAACAGATAGTGCTCGTATTAGCACTATACGATGAACCAAAAGCGCCACCCAACGTCCAAATAATGCAAACCCAGGAAAGGAAAGTGCCTAGTTCCCCAGTAAGAACAGTCGTGATGAAAGTGAGCAGAAAATACTCAAAAGACCAGTGAGTGACCTGTTGTGACAATAAGATGATGTAGGATTGCTAAGTTTATTAGTAGTTTATTGATTAGGTAGATAATAACTAATTTACTTGAGTGGAATTGTGTCATGGTCTGTGTAATTAACTGAATGATCCAAAATAACTTTGATATTGAGAAAATGCTTATATTTAATACTAAAATTATTTAAACAAGAACTGATGAGGACTAAGTACATATATTATATGGATTAGAAGTTAGTTTAAAAAAAAAGAAACAAAATAGTTTACCTTAGTACATCTATCTCATCCTTCAAAGACTGAGCCTCCTCTGCCAATGTAGTTAGCTCTTCTGTTTGTTGCCTCAATTCAGCAATTTCTTTTTCTAGTTCTTCACAGCGTATTCGATAGTCATCTTTGGCAGCTTCTAATCTGTAGAAAGTAAGTAAAACAGAAAATTTCTCAGCTTCAGCCACAGTTACCTTTCCTCACCATCCTCTCTAAAAACACATGAAATGGCCTTACGGTGCAGTGAACAGCAGCCTGATATGCTTAATCAAAAATGTAGAACCAGACTGACTTCTTTGATGCTTCAAAGTTGATATCAGTCTTACTATGTGGAAGATCACAAGGTAATGTATGTTGTCAGAAATCAAATCCTGAGGTTTTTCTGTCACAGCAATTGTTCACAATGGAGCTCAACCAAAAATTTCCACCTTTTTTTTCTTGAAGCATACAGAGTTTGAACATGGCATCTTTTTCCTAAGATTTTATTTAGCTGTTCAAATCCTACACAGCTTCAGCAATATTAACCCAATTTTCTAAGTACTGTAGTACTTAGTTCTAAGTACTGTAGAGCTCTCATCAAGGTGGTTTTATTTCATTTACTTACTTACAAAGCACCTGTGCATGGCCAGTACCTCTGAAGAACCAAGTCATACATTTAGTTATCTTGTTAACATGTAAAGAACTCAGACAAAAGTTTCTGAAGTGAACTACTTCCATACAGCATACACAAGCAAAGCTGCATTAAATGGAAGTGAACAAAGAGTGTAACCAAGAGAAACTTCATCAAAGCATTTTGAAGCAATACAAGATGACACAACCTGGAACATGAAGTCCTATTGTGATTTTTATCTGAAATGAAAATAAAACACATCCAGAAAAGGAGGTATGGGCATGGAAAAAAAAAAAAAAAAGAAAAAAAAATTAAATTCTATCCATTAATTCACGGAGTTGAAAAAGAATCTACAAGAATGAAGGCAAGAGATACAGGTCATGGGTCATTTAAAGAAATAGGTCTTCTAGAAAAGACACAACAGATATCTGGATTATGATAGAACAGAACTGCCAAAGGACATAAAGAGGCAAGACTGGGAGAAAAACTATTGTACCACACTGGGCTGTACAGATGTCCTGTTTGGTCAGGCAGAGCTGGAGGAGAAATATATATAAATTGCCATTAGAAACCACATGCTATGAAGGCAGGGGAAGGAGGTAAAGGAGTTTGGAAAACAAGTATCACATGTGAAAAGGGTTTAGAAGGATCTTCTGTACCTGAAACTAGAGTACCAGGCAGTGCAGATACCGGATATGGGGAGAAAATCTGTTCAAACTGCAACTGATGACAGACTCAGGTTGGAATCACTCCAGAGCATGGGGATGAATAAGGAGAGATAAAAGGGGACACTAGAGAGACATCAGTACCTATTCCTTTACAGGGTAGATGTATAGAAAGAAGAAAACCAGGCACTAGTTTCTATGAAAGAGAAACACTGAGCATTTTTCAGGAAACTGAAGGAAGAGGGCATGCCTGAACCCCCAGGAAAAAAGAGGCTTAGCGAGACAAAGTGGAAAAATGGCAAAACAGGCAAAGAAAACAAAACAAAACAAAAAAACCACACACACAAATTAGCAAGGGGCAACCAGAAGAGGACAAAGAGAAGAAAAACTGGCAGTGCAAATAAATACCATGGTTTCATTCACAAAGGATAGGAAAAGTACAGCAAGAAGAATGAAAAGAAGATGGTGAAGTGGACCAGCTTTTTTTGAACAGAGTAGGTTTACACAGCCTGAAAGCAACAGTTAAAAGGACTAGGAAGGATATTTAAAAAAGAACTGTATTTCCAAGTGCTAAGGAAATGCAAATAAAGAGTAGAGCTCACTTGCAGATAATCTCCATCCTTCAGGTATGAAACAATTTGTTTTCAAACTCAGAGAAGTACACACTTTGCTGTATAACAATACCACCTGCAGTACTGCTCAAAGCAAACTTTCAGCTAAGAATTCCTCCACCTTAAAAATACAATCAGAGTAATTTACAAGGAGGAAAGCATACTACTTCTCAGTTGCACCAATTCTGACAAACATGAGTGAAATGACTGCACACAATTCAAAACAACTTCAAAGACTAGAGAGTGACACATATACAGCATTTCAGCATTAAGAAATTATGCATTTTTTTTATACTGGAGCTTGTAAAAAGGTAAATCTTAACACGTACATCACTGTAAGAACTTTACTACTGTGATTATACCACCTATTATATTAATTCAGAATTGCCAGGAGAAACAGAGGTATATAAATTATATCTGTTGCCAGCTACAAACAAACAATCCAACCAAGCATAGCTTTTCTACCTGAATGTTTCCTCCTGGAGTTGTTCAAGTTGAGTCTGCAGCTGCAAGTGCCTACGACCTGCAGGGCTGTTGGGATCTTCAATAGAGTCAGATTGATTTAAACGTTCCATCAAAATCTGGTTCTCAGCAAGCAAGCTGCTCTTCTCCTCCTGGAGGGCTGCAACCTGTTGCAGTAAAAACATAAACTGGAATAACTGAGCTATCCGGTTATAAAGAAGAGGTTTTTTCTGTTTGTGCATAATAGAGTATCAACACAACCCACAAATGAAAGATCACGGGCTTCAATAATCACACTTCACAAGAATATACTGTAACATTAATAGGTATTCAATTGCTATGTGATGTGATGCAGAAAATATAACTATTCTTAATTGTATTTCAGTTAACATTCTGAACATTAACTATTAACTATTCTTAACTGTATTAACACAAGCTTCTAAAGAAAAAGTCTTAGTTAGCAAATAAGGTAACTTCATTATAATAAAGTCTGCGTTCTTTCCTGACAAACAAATAAAACTAGCTCTCCACAGTAAGGCTTTTAAAACTAATTTCCAAGAGAAACAACGTCTATTAATCACACAGAATATTCAAGTCTGCTTATCCAAGGTATGGCTTTGTCCTTCCAAGATTTGTTTATTAAAAAAAACAAAACAAAACAAAACAAAACAGTGGCCATTTGCAAGCAGGCCTGAAATAGGAACACAGTCCCAAAGATGACTCGTGTTTTAACCAACATTGCAAAACCAGGCAGTAGTGCAAAGAACCCAAAGTGCTGCAACTCAAACAGCAGCTGAACATGGGTTCATGTATTATTAAATAACATGCAGGAGGAAGAGGGGAAGAGAGGGAATGCAAACATCCTGACAGAAGGAAATGCTTCAATAAGAGCTTGAATCATCAAATACACCAAAATCAACCAGGACACACAAATCAACTTTGTCAATTCTAGCAGCTACTGAACTGCTTGGCAAAAGCCTGAATGATATTCCAAACTAGGGAATGGCAGTGCCTTTCAGGGCTCCCACTTTACACTCCTCATGTCTTCTGAATGAGGTATGCCTGATTTACAGTAAAGCTGACTCTGAATCCATAAACAGCTGATAGACTACAGTAACTTCTGATAGTGATTTAACACTTAACTGTATAACTGTTACAGCAACATAACCTGCAAGAGCTGAACCACACAACTCAACCCCTTCCTAACTGGATGAAGAAAAGGTTTGTCAGTATGAATCACCTTAATACTGGCAACATTGCATCAAGGGAAGAAAACAATGAAATTTGCTCTGCCAGCACAAGTAAAGCAACATAATTACTGTGCAATTTTTATTTCCCTTTAAAATTTTTTGTTTCCACATTACACTTCTTGTTTTCATCTGCCTAAAAATTAACACATCTCTTCCCCACTTCAAAATCAATATGTACAATATAGCAAACTTACCTGCATATCTAACTCATGACATCTCTGTGCAATTTCTTCTTTTGTTGCTAGTGCTTCATTTAATTCTTCTGTGGTTTTCTTCAGCTACCATAAACAACAAACATTTATATTTTCATCACTCTCTGTGAAATGTATAAAAATATTCTGAACTACATAGGTATAAAATTATTTTTGTATTATATTAATTTTTTCGAAAACTGAGGGAATTCCATTCTTAGAAAGGAACAAAGAAGCAGGTATAATTACTCTTTAGTTTGTAAAAAGTAAACATTTACTCTTTAGTTTGTAAAAAGTAAACATACTTAAAAGTAATTATTTGGTCTTACAAAAATACATTAGAATTATAACATCTATTCTACAAATAGAGTCAAAAAGCCCTGAAGAAATTGTGTTTGAAGAACTCATCAGTTCTGTACAATGAAAAAATTGTCAATACCACTTTTCTTTACGGATGCAAAGAGTGCATAATTTCAGTTTTCAATCTACACTTCAAATACAAAAAGGACTGCAAGGTGGAATACAGGAGATAGACAGGGTAAGATCTCTAGTCACTGGAAGCTACACTTACTGCACAACAGGAATACAATTAATATGGCAAGGGAGAATCCTACCCTTCTGTAAAAGGGCACTGAATCTTCTACCCAGTGGGAAATATTCAAATGCTTCTCTTCAGAGGTTTTATGTTCAAAGATACATATCTTGCAAGTCTGCATACAAATGCAGTTAATATAATAAACACAGCTACAAGAAAATTCACCTAATAAAACAGGTGCATACGTGTTCTGTATATAGACCTATATTATTATCTATGATGAATTTTAGATGGGCTTTCTCAACCAGAATCATGGCAACTTATTTTTTCCAAGTTTATTTTTCAAGGGCCTGTTGACAATGAAAAAATTAATTCCATCTGTTAGAATTTACATACTTCCACAGAAAATGCATGATGGAGGAACACAGGGAATACCAGTGTACAGCAATAGTTCTCAATTAGAAATAAAGACTGAGAAAGTAGGACAGTATTACTATGGGTTAAACTAGTAAAAAAACCAATTTATTTTGCATGTTCTTTGGATATATCACACAGGGAAGGATTCTCTCAAAAATTTCTCTTACATATTGTAGGAGTTCCCAGGACTGATTTAAGGATTTTTGAACCCATCTACATGTTCTTGGGGTTTTTTTGTTGTTGTTGGGTTTGGGTTTTTTTCTGTGTGTGTTTGGGATTTTTTATTTGGTTTTGGGTTGGGTTTTTTGTTTGGTTTTGGTTTTTTTAACTGACCTGAGAAGTACGAATTGGCAAAAAAAGTTATATTTAAATACTACTTTTTTTTTTTTTTTTTTTTAAATTCTTTTTTTCCCTCAATACCCAAAGATTTGCACTGGTCTGCAGTTTTGCAATACTATGTCATACAGCTAAACTTGTTTTCCAAATTGAGTTTTTCTCTCCTTTAAATACACAAAATGGTTAAACACAATTTATAAAGCAAAAGAACTTGAAATATTGAAATTTAGTTTTCCAATTCTTATTTGAATTTCCCACAATTAAAGAAAAAAAAAACCAAAAAAGACTTCTTAATAAAGCAAAATGACTAGCCACTAATGTGCTATGATTGAAGGAAAATAAAACATCTAGTCTTAGATACCTGCCGATCAAGGTCAACGTAAGCATCATTTCCAACAGAGACTGGAGACTCTTTACTCATCAACTGCAATTAGATTAGAGTGGATTAGAAAAAGCAAGGATTTACTTTTATTTTAAAAGCTAAGCTGTAATGAAAGAAGCTGATTTTAACTTTAGGGAGCTCCAATCTGATTTCATTTGGAAGTTTTTAACTTCATTTTTATATGGCATTCAGAAACAACGACAGAAAGAAATATTCAGAACTTAGAATATTTAAAGCACTATAAAAGAAATCTTACATCATCTCTAACAACACACATTGTTTATCTATGATGAAACCTATAATACACTCTGTTAAGCATTTTATTGAAGTGGCATTTGAATGATAGTACTATCAACATACCATGCAAGACCTGCCTTCAATTGTTTTCTGCCAGCAGTTTTCATTTTTTTGATTAGATGGAGTTCACATCAAATTATTTATTTGTTCAGCTGAAGCTGGCAACGCACCTACCTCAGCTAATTGTGTAAAACAAAGATGATTAAAATTCCTGCTCTGGAGTTGTCTGTAATTTTCAAATTTAAAAAGAAAGTCTCTCAAGCGTACTCCTGAAATAAGCACTACTATTCCTTTTACACTAACCTATTTGATTGCAGGAATAGCTGGGAATAATTTTAGTCTAGCAAACATTATTTTTAGCCATGACTTTTAAAACACAAACAAAAGCCTCCCATATTGACTGATATGCTTACTCAAAGAGAAAAAGCTGATAAGAAAGTAAGTTTTTGTTCATTAACCCACTAATCAGCTCCACAGGCAGTTAGAAATTAAATCTAATGTAACAAGAAGTTGTATCCCAAAGACCTCCTCCCAGCCACCTCCAGAAAACACAGGTAAAATTACTACTGAAAGTTCTAAGACACAAAAAGAAAGTCCTCCAAATCAGAAATATATTGTAACTAACTCAAAAGGCAGCATTACCAAACCACTCTGACGGTTTCTGTCATCTCGTCCAAAGTCAAAATGCTCTACAAGTTCTCCAGTGAGAGAACTCATAAAGTTACAATCAAGAAGACCCTATTCTAACTAAAACCAGGACAAAAATTCTTTCCTAAGGCCTCCTCTTCAGCCTGGTTACTTTCTCCAGAGATAGGGCTTCCTTTATTTCTTCCAGGAATCAGTGCTTTTGCATTACTTTTTACTGGCAAAGTTCCTTGGACATACAGCACAGAGCTTTAATTTCTTCTCCATTCTTTCTGCTTATACAACTGTGTAGAAGAGAAAACCTGTTTGATGTTTACATCACTCAAATATTTATTCACTAATGTCTCTCCCTTTCTCCATCTCCTTAATTTCAATTTAGCTGCATATCACATTCTTAAATTCATCTATCTGTCCCCAACAGTCCTTCTCAGACCCTGAAGATATTTGTTGCTAACTGAATTCCTCCCATTTTGTCTTCATCTTTACAATGTCAAACACCATTGAAATGAAGCATTCCATGAAGCCCTGATCCTCTGTAACAGTAATAAGAAAACCTCTAACCTCAGAACTGTCCCCTTCAAACACGTCTTTCTCATTACCATACATAGTGATGTTACAAACTTGTATTTCATTTAGGGCCATGTTTTCTGAGCTGATTTGTTGTTTTGCCATCCAAAACAAGAATGTCCAATCCCTCTCTGCTCTGTAACGTCTGTACAGACGCCATTTTAATAATACTGTTTAAATGCTTTTCCAGATGACTAAAGGGGATATCCCTCTCAACCAAATACTGAACACTTGTCCCTATTATATATCCCACAACACTGTTCACAAACACACTTAAGACACTAAACAAGTTGCACCCACAAAGCCAGACTTTCCAGCTGGCAGGTCCCATGCCGCAAGGGTGTTCAACAATATATCCCTGACAGCCACCAGCCCTTTGTGGCCAAAGCACAGCTCCCCAGAAACCCGTCTTAACAGACCTGCCAAGACTTACTATAGGAGGAATACAAGACGCTGCATAACCCACTAGAGGCCACTGTGGTGTTGCCGCTTTCTGTGGATTACCATACAGAAAGCAGGACAAGGCAAATAATATAATCCCTTTATCCTACAGTGGGTTTTGCCAACTCTCTCAAAAATTCCTATTCTTGAGAATCTTAACAGAAATGTCCAGAAAAGAGGACATTAGCTGGGAGAAGGATTAGGTGGGGGAGATACATGGTGTGGGTGTAACATGAATGTTACACAGAACTTGTGAACTTAACTCCATCAGGAGCATCAGGAATGTCACGGGAAGTATGCATGAGGCACTGAGTGCAAGAATCACAGTCCGACTCAATGCAACAAGAAGCGTCTTGCAATCTTATGGCCTGTGAGATGGTGGGAATGCTAAAGAAGAAATCTGTGGGATTGTGCTGCATCTAGCATGATCAGACAAGGAAAAGGAACAAGACTGCCAGATTACTTAGAAGTAATACAGAAATACAACTTCTGATAAGTTAACAACAACCCAAAGTTAAGAAGGGGGGTGAAAAGGGAGAATATCAGGGTGAAGGAGTGCCTTCATCTCTTCACTACACATCTCCCCACATCCTGGAGAGGGAAACGGTATATGTAAGCAAATGTCTGTGTTCTGCTCTCTCTCCTTCACTTACAAGCTCACGTTCAGACAAATATTAACACCTGTCTTCACATGGACCTTTAATGGATGACGATCTTACAAGTGAATTGATTATAAAAAGGGAAATCAATAAAGTGCCTGCAAAATCAAGCAATTGCATTAGGCCTCTACAAGAGAAGGAAAAGTCTTTTTAAGAGCTCCTCACAGTGAAAGCCAGCAACTAGCATTTACTTCCTTGATCTTTTTCTGGTTTATTTGCATACTTAGAATTAAGACTTCAAACAGCACAAATATTTGTTGAAATAATAAAATGTCATTTAAAATCAAAAGAGCTTACTCTGTGGTGAAGGTCAGACTGGATTGTAAAGGGTACAATAACCTGAACAACATGACAGTTTTTATAATTCTTTGTGTAATTTTGAGAAGCGGTTGTTATTGCCTCTTAACCTTTACATCTATACATTTTCATGCTCATAGCTTTGGTATGATGTCTTAAAAAATACTTGTAGATCTGCTAATTTTGTATTATTAAAGCCTTCACTTCTAACTGCTTTGCTTGTGAAATGTGAACAAGTTGTGTTGTCATGGATACATAAAGATTAGGGAAGGGGTAAAACTATCACAAAATCTGCATGCATGAATAACCTGAATTATGAATGCCTTTTTTTCTCTCTACACATGATTTGCATGATTTTGCAAATGCAGCTGTACCACTTAGTCAATGATGTTAGAAGTTCAAAACATTTGCTTTATCTGAAATGCTTCTTCTACAGTTGCTAGTAGTGTTCGAGCTCATTTAAGTGCCCATAAAACAATGTCAAAATCCAGTTTCTGTATTCAGAAGATTGTTTTTTCCCTAAAACATCTTTTGATTTGTTTGCTTTTTAAGAGACAGGGCTATGTATGACACAGTGTATATCCTCTAATGCAGCTGGACTTTCTTCTTCCTTCACTACATCTAGCAGACTCAATGAAATACTACTCTATCATTCCCCAGATACTCAAAAAACACTCTTACTTCAGAGAAGATGAACCTTTAACCAGTCATGACAAAATACAGGGAGGGGAAAAAACTAAACGCAGTTTCTACTTTGCAGAAGTAACAGAGTTGGTATTAATCCAGACAGGAAGTACCTCTTGCTTTGCACCCCAGGCAAGCTTTGACCTTTGACAAAGGCAATTTCCCCAGCTACCACTTTCATCAATGATGAACTTGGCATCTCAAAGAAAAGACTTGGGAAAAAAACAGCAGAATTTGCCAAAGATGTCAAAGAAAGGAAAGGAAAGAGAAATACCTAATAGCTAAAATAATTTCCACGAGGAGAAAGCTTTGGCTTTTAAAAACAAAATTGCAAATTATGAAATTAAAAATGTATCTTATAATATACATAGCAATATATCAATTGCAAGTAATAATAGATTATAATGATATAAATGGAATACTGGAATGTATTACACAATATACAACACAATACATAATTTATAATTACGTAATACTTTCCTGCAATATTTTTGATAGCTATATCATTCTTGGTCTTCCTCTATCTTGTGCACAGCTTGCATTTAGAAATGCACACCCGCAGATTAGAAGAATCTAAGAATCTAGGTGGTGGCGGCAACACACCAGATCAATTTGACTGTACTGAAAAAATAAACTAAAAGCATTTTTCAATTTATAAAACCCTTATGGCGCATAAGGCATGTTTTATTATTAATATTTTAAAGATTTAAATCAGTGGAGAAAGGAAATGCTGAAGTCACAAGGTATGAAAAAAACCAAAATAGCCTAATAAAATTTAACATATAAAATGCTCCTCCTTCCATTTAAAAAACAGCTTCTCATGCAAAAAAAACCAAAACAAAACCCAGAGAAAACAGGCCAGAGGCTTGTTCTTCTGTACATCATGGAATACTTTCATGAGTAAGAGGATTTATGAAAACAAGAGAAGAAGTATCAAGAAGTATTTATATGTGCTTTGCTGAAACAGGAGAATGAATTACATAGTACCTCAGTAAAGCTTAGAGAGGTCTTCTTACATACCTAATTTTGAAGAAAGAGTACCTGCATATGAAATGCTTTGAAATGTTTGGATTAGGTGACATATCGACTTTTCAAATACACATATACATCTACTTTCTTAGGCACCTGATTTGATGTCTCCTACATATTGCTTAGTCCAAGCCACTTGAGTTCTGAGAGCTGCTCTGAGTCCTAGAAAAACCTCTTTAAATGCAGTGAGGTTTCACTGAATTTCAAAATCACAGACTACAGGTGCAGCTCGTGATCTGAACTCTTGTTAGAATCACAGAATATCTCGAGTTGGAAGGGACCACAAGGATTAGAGTCCAACTCCCTGCTCTTTACAGGACCCACTAAAACCAAACCATATGACTAAAAGCATCGTCCAGATGCTCCTTGAACTCTGACAAGCTTGTTGCCATGAATCACTTCCTTGCAGGACTAAAACTAAACCATATGACTGAGAGCATCGCCCAGATGCTCCTTGCACTCTGACAAGCTTGTTGCCATGAATCACTTCCTTGCAGGACTAAAACTAAACCATATGACTGAGAGCATCGCCCAGATGCTCCTTGCACTCTGACAAGCTTGTTGCCACAAATCACTTCCCTGGGAAGCCTGTTCCAGTGAACAACTACCCACCAAGAAACCTTTTCTAATGTTCAATCCGATCTTCCCCTGATGCAGCTTCATTCCGTTTCCTTGTGTTCTGTTGCAATCACCGTAGACAGATAAGCATCTCCCCACTCAACTGCCCCTCTTTGAGGAAGTTGAAGACTGCCATGAGGTAACCCGTAACCTTCTCTTCTCTAAGCTGAACAAAACCAAGTGACCTCTGCTCCTCATAAGCCCTCGAAACCTTTCACTATCTTCGTCACTTCTCCTCTGGACACACTAATAGTTTGATGTCCTTCTTATACTGCGGTGCCCAAACCTGCACCCAGTACTCAAGGTGGGGCTGCACCAGTGCAGTGCGGGACAGTCACCTCCCTCAACCAGCTAGCTATGCTGTGCTTGATGCACCCCAGGACACAGCTGGCCTGTTTGGCTGCCAGGGCACACTGTTGACTCATTCAACTTGCCATTAACCCAAACCCCTGGATCTCTTTCCACAGGGCTGCTCTCCAGCTTCTCATTCTCTGTATGTATAATAAGGATTAACCCATCCAAAGTGGAGAATCCAGCACTTGCTCCTGTTAAATTTCATACAGTGGTGATTGCTCAACTCCTAAGACTATCTAGATCACTCTGTAAGGTCACTCTGCCCTTGAGGGAGTGCACAGCTGCTCCTAGGTTAGTATCATGAGCAAACTGCCTTAATTGGATTCTAAATTTGATTCCTGTGTCCAGATTATTTATTAAAACATTAAAGAGCAGTGATCCTAAAATCACTCCTGTGGAGTTCCATTGCTGCTGGCCACCAGCCTGATGTAAACATCATTTATTATAACTCTTTGAGCCCAAATCACCAGTAAATGCTCACCCCTAAGCATTATGGACTCATCTAAATGTATGATGGACATTTTGTCCAGAAGGATACTGTGAGAGACAGTATCAAAAGCTCTGCTAAAATCCAAAAAAGCCCACATCTACTGGCTTCCCTTGGTCAACTAGATGGGTGACCCTGTCAAAAAAGGAAGTTAAGTTAGTTAAGCAGAACTTTTTCCTCGTGAACCTGTTGGCTAGGACCAATGACTGCTTGTCTCCCTCATGTTTTTCAGTAAATCCTAGAATAACCTTCTCCGTAATTTTGCCAGGCACTGAAGGCCTGTAATTACTAGGGTCTTCCTTCTTCTCCTTCTTGAAAATTGGGACCTTCGCCAGCCTCCAGTTAACTGGGACCTCTGCAAACTTATAAGGCCACTGAAAAATAATGGAGGTAAGTCCCATGCTACAAGTTTGAGACACTTTTTGACCTCTTTGTTAAGCACCCAAGATGCTCCTCATTTAGTTTGGAATGCATTGGATTTCTAAGCAGCTTGGAAGGTAGCATTAAAATCACTGAGAACTACATCAGTACCTGAATAATAAGCTTTTTGATTCACCAAGTTTCAAAAATCTGTTTCAGATGAACATACCCCCATCTTGATTTCTCCCCACTTCTACTCCCCATCTCTGAGAAAGGGCACAAACACTAAACAAGTCAATGCCTACTCATTAAATGTCAAAAATTGTGGGCTGCTTCAGATCTGGATATTTTATCTAATGAAGGAGGTTTTCACAAAAAAAAAAAAAAAACAACCCAGGAGATTTTCAACAAAAAGAGGGAGGGTAAGAGAAGGTTTTCTATTTTAAGACAGGACAGAAAAATAGTGATGATGAAAGTTGGGTTTAATAAAAGACTACATTGTGAAAATCCATCACAGCATTGTATTAGTTAGGAAGAATGCTATAGTAAAATATCCCCAAACTCAAGCAAACTGGTGATTGCAGCACTGACTGGAAATAACTCAGCATAAGGATTCTTTCAATGCTCATTTCGAAAGTCCTCTCTCCAGTCTGATAGACAGCAGTCCACACAGATCACAGTATGTACAACTGCAAGGATACAACACTGGCCAAAGTGATAACAAGGGATGAGGTCCATGCAGGCTCATGGGCATCTTTATATTCAGACGTTACAGAAGAGTGAAATTGCTCTAGTGCTCAATGTGGGATATAGTTTGTCTTGTTCAGGCCCAAAGAAACAGGATTACCACGGATTTCCTGCTTTCCTTAAGTTGCCTGCCCTGCAGCAAACCTTCACCTATGAAGACTGATAGGTAGTTTACTTATAGGTACTTTGAGCTCCTAAGAAGTCACGTGGGGACTTCATGGCTGTAGTGGTTACTAATACTGTGGTTTAATTTTCACTGTGGTTTTAATTTACTACTGAACAGCACTTTTACAAAATATACTGCAGTATACTTATTGACTTGAAAAAAAACGTTAGCACAAATAACTTCATTAGCCTGCTCATAAAAGTACAGCTGACAAACGAATACTATCCATTTCTCTTTCTTTTCACATGTCCAGAAAAAAAAAAAAGTAAATAAAATTAACAGTTCACAGAGTTCTGCAATTTCAAGGAACAAATTTTGAAGAAATTCTAGAGTAATTAGTTACTCATATAAAAGCAGTCTAGCGCACTTCAGGAGTCACAGGGTGGGAAAAGTAAAGGAAAGGAAACTCAGTATCAAAAATATCTAGAAGTTTCAATCTTCTAGATTTAAAGAAAAGTGGGACATTCAACCAGAGCTCCTTGACATAAAGCAAGTTTTTCTAAGCAAAATTAAGATTTTTTTTTTTTAAAATGTGAAATGGAAAAATCTATGCCCGTTATTTTCTGAACTTCCAACTAAGTTTCTCCAAAGTGCAAAAAAGAAGGCTGAAAGGCTGAACTTCTATACTCTCTAGGCATCCCAGCATACCTCTTGAATGGCTGTCATCACAACGTGTTGAACTGATTCTTCCATCATCATTATGGTCTGAATGTATTCTGAAAATAAGAGCATTCTGAAATGTTACTGTTGAAACTCAAATCACACAGACAGACCATTAGGTCACAAGCTGCATCCTTCCTACAAAATGACGTGTCACAGATGACACTGAAAGGCATTATCATCAGTCAAATCCCACCCCAACAAATTTAGTTAAGAATTTATCAGAAGTCTGTTCGGCATAAATCCTGGATCTTTGGAACATTGCATCAATGAAAAAAGTTCATGATTGCCACCCATTTTTTTCCTTCTGGCATCTCACACTTCTGAAATAACTACTTACAATTTATTTTCTCACCTTGTTCCCAAACTGTTCAGGCTATACAAGTACACAATCCATGGGTAGGCTGTCCTTTTCTGTAAATTTAACAATAATGTCCTGCCTTCCTACAGCATCCTCAATTCAAGGTATTTTCTTACACATTCTTGGTTTCCGATCTTATTTCTGTGCTATATCACAAGTAAGTCCCTTTCACTTTTTCATTCCTGAGAAAACTGAAAAGGGGAAACTAGCTATAAAAGCTAAAATGGACTATGCAAGAGAAGACAAAAGGCCTGAAACTCTGGCTGTCTTTTTGACAGAAAGGAAACCAAAATGAGTTAAATTAGGAATGGACAGATATTTGATGTGACTTTAATGTAAATAGAGTAAACAGTTTTATTTACCTACACATGTTATTTTATAAACATGTTACTATGCTTCCTAAATGTTAGGAATAAATGGCTGTAGTTGCTTTGTTACCTTAACCTGGCTTGAACTGGCTTGAGTGTAATTTAGGGCAACTGGGTAACTATAAGACATGCTGCACCCAAGGCAAGTTTAGGGCATGAGATTTGGGACAATTCAACAACCATCTCCATTGTTCATCACATTCTCTGTGGCACCTGCAGGAAAAATAAATGGGTCCCTGTTTTACCTGTGCGGGTCAGAAAGACAGTGAGTGCCATGGGAGCCAAGAGAGGCAGAAGTCTCTTTTCAGTGACTGCTGAAGTGGGATTCAATCACCTAACAGATGCCTCAGCTGGTATTTTGGATTCCCTTAAGGTAGCATGCTTGGTCTTCAGCTGCTGTCCAGAGGGCATGGTTGCCAACATTACTCTTTGTTACTTGTCAGTCCCATGCAAAAGTCTCAGAAACTACAATAACCCAGATCACATCTTCAGACCAATCCTCAGTCATACTGATGGCTCAGCAAACAAAAATTGAAAATACGTACATTGGAAGCAAAACCAGTTCCACAGTTTGAGACTCCAAAAGTAGTGAAGCTTACAACAAAACAACAGTTATTAAATGTAGGACAAAATAATGTCATCACTGAAAAAAATGTGTCTCTGACAGCAATCTGAGAGATACAATTTTCCCCCTAAGTAGTCACACAACAGGCTGAATTCTCATTCACTGGCTGGGAGAAAACATGCTTTCAAAATTTAATACCTTGCTTCTGTTCACAATTCACAGCGCATCCCAAAATAAGCTGAAGCATCCTCCCAAGCTCTGCAGCATCAGCGTGCTCTCCAATCAGGTTAACATCAGGAAGGGTGAAGTCATTAATCTGTTGCCCTAGAATCTGTGTAAAAATTCAGTACATACACGACTGTATCACTACACATATACATACATCAGCTTCAAAATACAAAGATGATTCAGAAGCAACAAGACCAATTCACTCACGCTCTAACATAGTTTTCAATCCACCTTTAAAACTGCCTAATACCTAACACCTAAATATTAAACCATGCTGCTTGACAGGACTAATATTTGGGAGAACACAAACCCAACTGTTTCAACTAACAAGCATCTATTAGTTTCAAACTTAGCAAGATTCTTTTCTTCAGATAAGAAAGGTAACAAAGGCAGGCTTCCATGGTGATCAACGGCACACAGATAATCAGATTTTTTTAAAAGCATTCAATTAAAAAGAAATCTATCACCTAAAAACATATTATGATGCACAGAATATTATACATAAGTCTCGTATTTCTTACCACTAAAAAGACAGATTGAAATATTGCACTTGCACAATACATGTGTCTAGCACTGATGGATGACAAAAATAAGAGGTTAAAAACTCAATTACTTGGCCTTGCACTTTTAGAAAATTTAAGGATTTTTAGCAAGTCTCAGAGCTATAAAAGCTAGTTCCATGGAAGAGAACTTGACATAGTAGTACAATACATAATTAAACAGCCCACATGCATGGGAAAAAAAAAAATCCAACCCCAAACCAAAGACCACACAAAACAAAACAAAAAAAACCCCATGTGACTTACAATTAATGTAATCTTATTTATAATTAAGAAGGATTTATATTAATGATTGTCAGTAGAAGGAATTAAACAATTCTGCTAAATTGTTCATAAAGAGCTTTCAGGGGGCTGAAAATATGAATATGAAATATGGAATTAAACACAGCTCTGACACATTAATTGCAGATAAAGAGAAACTGTCACTTCTTAAGCAGAGTGCAGTAAAGAAACAAAGACCGTGGAGGCAATCAGCCACTTGTTTGCTGGAAGCCCTTTTTCATGTTAATACTCAAGAAAAATAGTAAATTAGGTAAAGGTATTTGTGAAAAACACTTAAATGATGTATATGAAGAATACGTGGAAATCAAGCCATTCAAAAGTTTTCCAGGGTTGGGCTTTATGGAATTGTTGTAGTTGAGTTTGTTCTTGTTTTATTTACTGTTTTTTCTATTGTGGCATTATTTTTTTAACAGCTTTCCAGCTGAGCACCAACACAACTTAAAATCTCTGTATACTTTAAAGGACTCAGATTCATTCTTGTTGGAATAGACTTGCTTTAGGTCATTCTAATAAGAATATGAACGCATCAAGCACAACGGAAAACACTACCATTGTACATATACTGCTATAATACAGTAAACCAAAATATTCTTTGAATTATAAAAATCGGATTATGTTTATATATTCTGTAGTTGCCGAATTTCTTTCAAAATCAATGCCAGATTTAAGTTAATAATATGTCACAGTTACTGATAATACAATTGCTGTTAAAGAAAGCTGAAGGGAAGAGGCATATCAGCAGGCACTATGAAGAAGCCAAGGATCTGAAGGATTTTGAAATAGAGGATTTTGAAGTAAATAAAAGATACAAATTTAGTTCGACAAAAAAAAAAAAGAAATATGAGAACTATAGACTCTGCAATAAATATCTTGAGATGAAAAAGAGCATTATGTCCTTTAAAAAAAAAAAATGAAAGACCTTTAAAAAATAAAAAATAAAAAAAATGATAGTTTCAATTCCAGAGCTGAGAGTTCTGCAGCAAGATTACTGGGGCATAACAAAGCGTGCAAGCTATAAATAGATAACTTTATCTTCTTGTTCTACCATACTATAATTGACAAAGACAGCAACGTAGGACAGCTATTGAAAAACTGTTCTCCTGAATGCAAGAGAAAATTCTGAAGATTAACAAAATTAGCATATACGCTTTTCACAGGCTTTTAGCTACATCAGGTAAAATCCATACACATTCACATCTATATTCCTGTAGAAGGCGACTGCTAGGAGAGGGAATGAGGTTGAGAAAAACATAACCAGGATTCAAAGCAGAATCCAGGTCATCCTCATTATCACCACAAGCATCACCTCAACAGAAAAAAAAACAACCAAACAACCAAATCAATATCCAGTCAAACTTACAAATGTAAGTTTGCATTATCTTTGCAGAACTTAATCAGCTTGAAATAGCTCAAATTTTGCTCAGTAGTAAAGTTTTCACACCAGAAACTTAATCGTGATATATACTAAACAGCCAAAAAGAAGCTGGCATCATTTTGTCATAAAAATATTAATTTTCTGTTAAAAAAAATTTTTCTTTCTATAACGTCAGCTATAATCATCTTGCTTTATCATCAATTTTCAAAATTTATTTCAGCTTATGAGTTTAACTTTTTCTTTCTAAAAATCTGTTCCTTTTTGAAGACTTAAGTTTGTTAACAAACACCTTCCTTTCCAAAGTATTAATGAAAGCTAGTATTTTGAAACAGGCAATGTCCAGAACATACATATTATGTATTTTATGCTGCAGCCTGCACAGATCAATTTGCCTCATACCATCACTGAAACTAAAATCGTATTTCAGATGAAGATTCACCACTGAAAAATAACACTGTGTTGTATCTGGTTCAATTCTGAGTTTGCTCAGCAGTCTAAGAGGGAATGCCAAAGGCAGACTTCAATATCTCAGGATTAAAACATTTCATTGAAAATTTTAATGTGGGGAAAGGCTAAAAACGCTCTTTAGTCTCTCAAGGTGAAAAAAAAAAAGGAGAGCATCAGTCTTTAGCTGGAGTGGGGGAGAGAGGGATAAAAATCAAACATAGATCCATCACTTGAACATAATCAGCAAAGACCTCTACTATTTGTATGACAGAATTTGCAGATCAGACTCCTCTGAAAGCTCTGAGTATTCAATAAAGTAGGTGAGAAGTTTTAGGGAAGGCTAACACCTGAGAATAGGACACAAAACACTCTGTATGCCAAATACTTTGCAAGAAAAAGTCATAATTTAATCAGCAGAATAAAATCTACGTTAAATGGGTTAGCTACATAACTAAAAAGCAATTTAGATGTAGATTACATAAAATGGTTCTTACCTCATGGTTGTAATCCAATATTCCTTTTAAAATTTTCTTCAGGTTGCTTACCTATTTGACAGGAATAAGAATGAAATACAATAAATGCACAGAATAAATTACAGAAAAATGATCAAAAAGTAGGCAATCACAGGAGAATCATACAAAAGAATCATACATCTATTTGCACAATGAGACTTTCTGTTTGAGCCGTTTAATTAGAATCATCGAAGTTATGCAATGGTCCTTTATGATCAGACTCCAGACCTGATTACAAATCTCTGTTAATTAACAGAACCCATTTAAATATACAAAAAACATCACATTGTCCTGGATAGGCTTTAGATCAGATCTAAATATGAATCTTTTTGGAGTACTTATGTATCTTAGGATTATTTTTATATCTAGAATTTAAAACATTCTTTTCCTCCTTTCTTCTCTTAAAAGTATCCTAGTGATCTACGATTTGCAGAGATGAACCTCTTCTCCCAAACCAATACCAACTATTGCTCAACATCTTCCTTTATTCCCAGCCTATGTAAGCTTAATTTATTAACCTTCTCATTAATTATTCCTCTTAGCTCTTTCATTTTTGTTAGTGCCTGTCCCTGTGTCACGCCACCCTCACCCCCAGTTCTTTACAACTGAACGTCTGTCTTAGAGTATCAGCGCAAAATTCACATTTCTCAGTGATGCTTTCACTGCTATACAAAGACAGGTCCTGTTCACTCGCATAACCAATGCCGTCCATTAAGTGCCTCCTGCGGTATGAAATCTATGCCACACTTCTCTAGTACTGAGTACTGCTCCCTTTCTGGCAAAAATCTATTTACATCAAGTCTTTACGAGAAAGAGTGCCTTTAAAATTATAAAAACGCCCAATAGATTCTGTAAAGTGCTAAATGGAAAAAAAAAAAATTTTTTTTTCTGAAAGTAACTACAGCTACAGATTCCCACCAATTAATGTCCAAGTATTTAAGCAAGGAATGTAGATAACAGTACCAACTGCCCTATTGTCTCCTGAGACAGAGGAGTAGCCAAGTAAACTGGGGTTGTTTAGTCTGAAGAAATGGAGGCTGAGGAGAGATCTTATTCACGCTCTACAACTACCTGAAAGAAGAATGTAGCAGGGCGGGGTTGGTCTCTTTTCCCAAGTAGCATGCAATAGGACACAAGGAAATTGCCTCGAGCTCTGCCAGGAAAGATTTAGATTGGACACTGGGAAAAATTTCTTCACTGAAAAGGTTATGAAGCACTGGAACAGGCTGCAAAAGACGTGTAGATGTGGCATTTCGGGACATGATTCGTAGTAATATTATTGTTAAAGTTAATGGTTGGACTCTTAAGGGTCCTTATTTACTATGAAATTAAGGGTCCTTTCCAACCTATAATATCATCATTCTATGAAACCTATAAACAGGTTCTGCAAAGATTGAACCTGACTGAATTAGGATTCACAAAGTGCTGCTGCTACGACAGCCACAGCAGCAAAACGTGGAACTGTAATGAAGGGAGAAAACTCTCAAGTCCTAACTGTCTTTAAAGCCCACAGTAACTTCTATAGTCTCGATTACATTCCAAAAATACCTAGCTAGGAGATTCTGTCCACTGACAGAAGTAATGAATCTTCCAAAACATCTCAGGAAACACTTCAGAAAACAGTTAGGAAACATGACACTGAAATCCAGCATGAAACTCAACACAGTCACTGGACAAAAGGAGGTGACGAAAGCAAAATCCAGTCTCTTTTCTAAGAGAAACTCAAGAAGTTTAGGCTACACACACACTAAAAGATTTAGCCATGAAATCCAAAGTCATACTGATCTGATTTCCTCATTCCTACTAATCCACTCCCTTTTGGAAACAAGTGGGAAAAGCTGACCCCTTATTAAGGTATAAAAACATCCTGATTATCCTCGTAATTACTGAACTTCAAGTCATACAAGAAGCAAAAATTCACTTGGACTTGAAAAGTGACAAATCAAATATTCTGACAACCTAGAATGCGTGATGGAGATGCTACATGATAGGACGTATATAACATATACTGTCCCTCCCATAACAGCATAGTAATTAGTTTGAGGTTTACACCTTCTACTCTCAAACACATGTTGTTTCTGTAATATTACACATTACACATCTGCCCAAAAGCAATAGCCACCACCACTCAAAGTCTATGCACAATCATAACCAAAGTCTGCAACAGATTTAAAAATTTAAAGAAATGTAAATAATTTTATTTTGATGTCAAATCACCACAGAGAATACTGAACTGATTGGAATGCAATTTTCAAACTTGATTCATTAAAATCTTCTGGTTTGCAATTTACCTGAGTCTGCTGCGGGAAGTGCCACAGAAATGAAAAAGCCATGTTGCAGAATTTAAGTCCAGTTTACCGATGAGAATATTGTGAGAAACCTTGAACTTGAACATAATCCCCAAAAATGAGAAATGAAGTGGAAGGTACCCACCCACAAAACACCTCTTTTCCCCTCTCCTTGTAAGTATTGTTTGAATTAAAATGCCTTAAACACAAAGAGTCATATTCCTCCATAAAACTTCTATAAAGCTTAGTTAGATTTGAGATGCTGGAACAAAATCAATACTGATCAAAATCTGCCATCAAAACTAACATATAGGGCAGCATCCTTGGAAAAAGAAAATAGCAAACAAACTAAAAAAGAAAAAAAAATTAAAAAAATCTCATCTTTAAGATCCTAATTTATTCCACTTAGTACTGCTGTTTTATTCCAAACAGCAGTACTAAGATAACTTGCTTTCAAGAGTTAACGGTACCATTTCTGTATCTGGCACACAATCAGATAATTATAAGGCTAAAGCAGCTTCTTTACATACTGGTTTAAACTCAATGATCTTCAGTATTACTCAGAGGGTTCTTGATTTTTCTCTTTAGCTCATCTGCAGTGAGTACACTTAGGTGGTTCTACTGCCACTGTCAGAGAATCATCATGGGGAAGCTGCTACAAATGTTTTCTATTTTGAGATTCAACTTAGTAACTCCAACAACATTTGCCAGGTTATAGCATAAGTTCTTAAAAGGAGGACTTCAAACGAATGAAAATTAAGAACAGCACAAGAGTCGAAGACAACAAATTACATCCGAATTCTAAATCACAGCAGGTGATGGTTGTTCAAAATCTAACTGTAACTAGTTAAGAAAGAGCACTAAATCATTGTCGTGGTTTAAGCCCAGCCAGTAACTCAGAACCACAATGACAGAACACAACAGATAGAATTTCCAGTATTAATCATGACTATAAATCACTGTATCATCCTTTGGAGATCAGCCCATGATCACACGGGATGCTTATTCATTTGCGTCAGCAACCCGATTTTCTTCTTTCCCTTAAAAACAAGAAACACTCTCTTCCCAATCCCTTCCACGTCCATTCCCTGCATCCACACCTTTGTCAGATGAGACAGAAAACTTACAGAGGGGATGAGTCGGGGCAGAAATAGTGGCAGCTATGCTTTATTTCACTTCAAAAGCTGTTGCAATACAATAGATGTATTACTAAATATTTCTAGAATAGATGAATAGATGAATCTCTATTCATTTTCAATCTCTTTTCCAACTGTCATTTCATGATTTATTTCTTCAATCTCGTATTACCAAGAGGAGGACATCTGCTTTCAACTAATGCATGCACAAAGGGAACCTGCATGTTATTATTCGTTCTTTGAACACCTAAATCTCACTAACATCTATCCAGAGCTGTGTGGATGTTCCTTATGTTAAATGATCATTACCCTCTCAGTTTTCAACCATCTTGGCTGTAGTATAGCACTACATACTTAGCACACACTGTTCAATATAAGACTGACCCTTATTACGCAGCATTAACTTGATAAACTGATGAATGAAAGCAGACATGATGTGCCCTGCGTTACTGAAGGCAACACATGATCTGTCAAGACCATATGAC